GCCCAAGTCAGAGTAGGTGAAACTGGTATAGTATATGAATGCATCCGGTAACAATGCATCTGGTAACACATCCAGAGCTCTTTCCCCAAAGTAATTCACAGCTACCCAATAATCTGGAGATTTCACCCTCAAATAATATAAAGGCACTAAATAAAATCGGCCTTAACACTGGTCACTAAGAACCCTCCGCCCTTTGGAGAAATTCTGTAGATCCTTACCCTTTGTTTCCTTTCGCTCAATCAACTGCCTAGCCACAGAAAGATAACATGTTAGTCTTGCAGCGATTTAATTCTTAAATAGCTTTTTATGTGGAACTCTATCAAGGAAGTTTAAAAGGTTTAAAAAATATTAAATCTGTTTCTCTGTACCCACTCGCTATGAATCACATAAAAAAACTTTACTTAGAAATCACATCATCACCAACACTGACACCATTAGGTTATTTTTGTGTTCAGTAAGTACTTCTTTTCATTGGCCTCACCTGGTTGCCTGCCTGAGCTTGGAAATTCACTCGACTCCACTTTTCTGTATCCTACCTATGGTATTTCTTATACAAGGAATACAGTTTATTTTTCTAACCTTTCAGAACTCAAGAAAAACTATAAAAACACAATGACTTTCAGGCATGCTGTAATCTGATTAAACTCCCACTTTCTATGAGTTCCCATTTTTCTTTCATACTGGGGTTAGCTAAACAAAGTAGTACACAAGTTGGGCCAACCATATTGCCTCATGTTATTCCCAAGCACAAGTTCTTTACCCTAGGCAGGGAGCCTCTCTCTGCCCACACACCCAACTCAAAGCCCAGGTGTTTATAGTATCCCCACTGCCTGGAATACCCTTACTGTTCTTGTCTATACAAACCCAACCCCAGAGTTTGATTCAAATTCCATTTCTTGTATCAGCCCTTGACATGGCTATTCTCCACGGATCTCTATATAATAATTATCTGCACCACTCATTCTACATTAATCACATCTTAAATGTCTATGGCTTTGTCCTAAGTTCCTAGGAGATGGGCACCGAAACATTTGCTTTCCTGGTAAGTTCCCTTCTGTATCAAGCACTGTGGAGTATCGTTGTACAGTAAGTGCTTGCTTTATGCATCCGGACAATTTTTCTGGTGAAATCCATGGCATACCATGGATTCTCTTTTATAGAGTGTCTCTGACTCTCACGGCTCCAGGAGAGTGACCCGTTTGAAATATTGATTTATTTGAAATATCAAACGGCTGTTAAGTACATTTGTAACACAGAACTGGGGCTAGGTATATTGGTGTATCTGTATGATGCAGGCAAACTCTAAACCAGGATGAGTAAGCATGCTGACACATAAACTCCTGAGTGAATGAAGAACACTGTTTGTTAGAGGTTTTCCTACATAATATATCGCTTTTTAGGAATGTCTATTTTAGACAAGATTGGGTGTGTTCAGGGTGGTATGGTTGTAGACTAGGAATGTGTATTGTAATTACTGGTATTAAATAATCAAAAAGGTCACATTTTCCTAACTCAAAATGATCTTTTCCTGAAAGAATCATACACAGAAATAAAACTACTTAAAGAAATCAAACCATCTAGCTAGACCTAGGTAATCAACTTGATGTAGTAATGAGAAAGCTAAACAAATCACTCAGGCAGATACACATTCTTCCCCTCCCTCACTGTGATTACTTATATGGTTTATCGAAGAATCACACATTAATGGTTTTGATTTCAATTCTAAGGTCTGGTTAAAAAGCTTTACTGTTACAGTTTTAGAGTGAATCATTTAGTCTTATAAAAGAAAGCAGATTAAAAAATTATTTTCATTAAGATAATATTTTAATTTCCACTGTGTACCTCATGCATGGTCCACAGTGATAAATAGCCATTAAATGAGAACCAAATGTAGGCTTTATAAAAGAAACAGCCTATGGAACTGGGTAAAGAGATGTGAGGAACTATCTCAATGTGATTACTACATTTAGAAGGTGGTGAGCTCCAGTTCTCAGCTGAATGACACTGTTATCAGCCCAGGACAATTTCTGCGAGAGTAACACCTTTTATTTAGGTATGAGGCCAGAATGATTTACCATCCTTATAGACTATGATAAGACTGAACTAGGGTCCCTAGAATATTCTCAAAGCAGCTCAGACTCAGGGCAATGCCTAAACAAAGGGAAAGTGAAATTCTTGGTGAGCACTACTCACTGATCCTCTGTTCCAAAAAACTTCACAAAGAAGCATTTCTTTCCACGTGGTTTTTTCAAATCCTTGGGTGGATTAACAATCTGGAAAATAAAATAGAAAGAGGTTTTTTTCTACGACTCGGAGATGGTAAAAGAAAAACAAAGGAATGTCTTTAAATAAAAACACAGGGCCTAGTATATACCTAGACTTGGTACATTTCCACAGAATTTCTCTACATCTAACATGTAGCACAGTGTTCGGTAGATACAATTTTACTGAAATGGCCCTGTTTTAAAAAGAAAGGTAAGACCAACATCATTCTCCCCCAAAGTGACCCTGTAATCACTGAAGAAGTGTATAGGTCACTTTTAAAAATACTTCAATGTGGAAGAGTTCAGACATGTTACAGTGACACTGAAAGGTAACTGAGGCACTGAAAATGCCATATTGCAAAGAGATAGTGTAAAGATATATTTTTATATTCTTGGGCTCCTAGCAAGAATATAAAAACAGAACATTTGGAAAGCTATGATGGATCACCTCATGCAAAATCTGAAATGCCAACTTCTGCAAAGACACACTGAAGCAGCACATATGGTAACATGGAAAGAAGATTTAAACTGAGTTGGGACAAAAATACTTTGACTTTTCACTAACCTACATTTAGATTTCTCTATTTCTGGAGAATTTATTTTCTTCTCCTTTTGTAAGATTTAAGTATAAAGCTAAATTCAAATTAGAATTGATTTCCAGGCAGAAAAGACTCTACCAAAACCATCTCTGATTCAAGAAATAAGCAATTATAGCAGATTAAATTACTTGGTTTATATTATATTGCCCTTTCTAAACAAACTGATATTAGAGAAAAAACTCTGAGCATTATTTACATAGGCATAGTTTAATTCAATGCTAGAAACTGAGGGGAATGCATCTTACATTCTTCACTTCTTCAAACCTAACTTCAGATGTCTTCCCTCACTTTAGTAGCAAGACACTCACCTTTCCTGGCCAAGGAGGATACCGGCCGAGTTTCCCCCTGGAGAAGACACAGAGAGTCAGCATTTGCCCTGGAAAAGCCTGTCCACCTCCTTCAAACCACTCAATATGCAATTCCACCTCCCACCCTTAATCTCCATTTGCACCCTTCACGTGCCAGAACAAAAGCTGGCAAACAGGAGTTCATAATCTGGCTTCCATGGATGGACCAAACAAGCCCAAAGCCCTCATAAATGGAATGCAAAATTGTACACGTATGTGCATTCTTCTGGTACCAAGGGATACAACAAAACCACCAAGAATCACTCGTCCAGAGCCTCCCCCTGATGGGGGTGGGGGCGTTTTCTCTGTACACACAGACTTCCCCGTACAGTCTGTTTTAATTCGCCACGAGACCAGCCAGCTTTTACCAAATACTAATGGAAGCCTTCCTCTGGGTCAAGAAACAAGCTACGCAGGCTCGAGGGAGGCGGCGACAGTCGATCTTGGTTCGGGCGGTTGTCGGGGACACAGAAGCAGACTACAAGAGGTACCCAAGAAGGCACTGGTCACTGCCAAACGTAAAGAAGAAGTGTCCCCTCCATTTCTTCACGGGGCAGCGCCATCAGTCCTGCTTCGATATCCGCTCCCGAGGCCCCCGCACAGGTCAGTTTCATCGCAAAGCGCGGATTTTAACGGGCTTGCCCAGGCGAGAAGGCTCCGCGGGCTCCACGGCTCTCCCGCTTTCCCAGGAACCCCAGCAAGACCCAGAGGAAGAGGCGTCCGCGCCGACGCCGGGGACGCCCTTCACAATAGCTGCGGGCGTCTGGCCTGGAGCATAGCTCTCTACCGGGCGGCCTCGCGGATCGGAGCGGGGCCCATCACAGCCACCCTTGGACTGAGTCCCTCCAAGCAAGGCTGCCCCTTCCGCCCGGTGTCGTTTTCAGCGTTGGCACCTCATCTCGCTCTCTTCGCAGCCTGGTGCGCACATAAAGGCAGCTCCGGAGCTGGCCGCGAACTCCGCGCCCCAGGGAGAAGTTCCCCGGAGTACCTCGCTTGGCCCCAGCCGCCCAAACTCACCACACCAAATCGCCGAGCCGCAGACTCACAGCCGCCATCTTACCACCCAACCACCACAGACGCACGGGGCGCCGGGAACCCTAGATCTTCCTGGCGCCGCCCATTGGAGTGCTCCCGGCCACGTGACAGGGACCGGCTGTCAGCAGCCAAGCCGCTGCTCTGACGTTATTGCGCCCGCCGGGACTTATTGGCCGGGCGAGAGGCATGTGACCAGGGCGCCCGGGTCTCCCCGCGCCGGAGCCCCGAGATTCCGGGCTCCTTCCCCCTCCCTTTGCTCGTGACAACGAAGCACCCGCGGTCTGAGGCGGCGGCGACGGCGGCGGCGACGACGACGACGACGACTGAATTGCAGGTTGAGCGCGCGAGGGAGCCGGCCCTGCGGCCTGCCCCGGCCCCGGACCCTGGCCTCTAGCCCCCATTACCTCGGCGTTTCCGTTACGTCCGTTAGTCCCTCGCGGGCCCCGGAGCTGCCTGCGTCGCCAAGCTGCCCGCTCCTGCTGCCCTGACGGACCTCGGCGGGGCCTGGAAACCAGCCTCCACCCGCCCCCGGGGCCCCGCGCCCCGCCGGCTCTACGTGGCCACGCCTGGAGGGCCGCCGGGTTCTGCGGAGCGCGCTAACCGCTGCGTTCGGGGAGCGGCTCGGACCCCGAGGTCTCGGCTGCGCTGCAAGTTCTCTCGGGGCGTCAGAGCTCCAGCCCCGAAGTCCGGAGTTGTTAGACCGACCGACTTGGAGCCGGCGTCTCTTCACTTCCTCCTGGGCCGGCTGGCGGCTCGGCCAGCGAAGCTCCCCTGGGCGCTCCGGGACCCGGCAATGGGCTGCGGTTCAGGGCGGCCGCCCGCCGGGAAGCTTGGCTCGGGGGCTGGCCGCTAGCAGCGCCGCAACCCGGGCTCCCGGGCCGGCATGAGGACGGTCGCGGGGCGACGAACGCGGCCCGTGGGGCCGTAGCCTGCGTTGTATCGGGGACAAAGGTGCGTGTCTTTGTCGGGACTGGGCTCTCAGGGAATCTGCGTTGTAGTTTGACATAGTTGAGAAGTTAGGAGCAGGTTGTTGTGACAGCAGCAAGGCAGATGCTAGGCGTAGTTTCATTATGTAAAAACTTAAACCGTTGAATGGGGAACTAGAAACAGTGCAGCACAGCGACAGCCCAAACGTCAAATTCCAGATAGAAAATAAAAATTTCAAAAGGTACCATTTCCAGTTGCATACTCCAAAGATTCTAAGTCAAGTGTTGGCTTAACTTACAATCGGACTTTTTCTTGGGTCGCCTTCTACTTGTAAAGGTGGCGGGTTCACACACATCACCCTTAGGCGACTTTTCTTATGCGGAGTTTTTAGCAAACTGACTTGTACACAGCCTGGTTTTTCTTTGTAGTTCAGTTTCCCTAAAGTACTGTTGGTTATAGGATCTGCCATTTACTGTTTTTTTTTTTTAAGGTAGGCCAATAACTTGAAGGGTATTTATAATTTCATGAAACTATTTCATAAAATTCAACACGTTTCCAATTTAAAAACTCTTAATTTGGGGGGCATTTAAGGATATTTTAATGACTTGATAAAAATAAGAATTTTAAGTTAACATCACACTGGGCGTAGAGGCATTCCTGTTAGAGTCAGGAACACAGCAAAGAATATATTGTTTAATATTATTTTGGATGTTCTAGCCAATGCAATAAAACATGAAACAAGAGTAAACATAATTTTTCATAAAGAAGACAAAATTCTCATTTCTGTGTACTACAGGATAGATAGCCTGTTTTGGAAAAAAGGGGAAAGACATTAAACTAAATGAGTTCAGTAAAGAGACTAAAAAATCAGCCAGAAAAATTCAGTCTTTCTATATTTCACCAGTAACCAGTTTGAAAATAGAATGATTATGAGAATGTACAGTAAAAAAAAAAAAGTCACTACTGGGAATAACCTGAGATAAAAGGAGGCTAGCATTTCTTGGATAACATCAGTTGTGTTTTTAAGATGGAATTTATTTTTTTTGGAGAATACTGTGCTTTTACTTAGAATAAGGTTTAACTCAGTAGAGGTGAGTACAAGCACACCTTGTTTTATTGCCCTTCATTTTATTGCCCTTCATAGATGTTGCATTTTTTACAAATTGAAGGCAAGACCCTCCACCAGCAAAGAGATTATGGCTCGTTGTACTGTGGTAGTCTGGAACTGAACCCTCAGTATCTCCGAGGTATGCTTGTGTTTAAATACTTAGTTTTTCTTAAGACTGCATTTTACTGATAAATCTTGTTTCATTACAAGTCTAAATATGTTTATATAAAATCCAAAATACTTCCTCTACAAAGCTTCAATTAAGGCACTAGTTTAACATTAAATTTACCTAAACAATGAGCTTTTTACAAAGTTAAATTTGCTTAAATGTTTTTAACAGCATTTAAAGTTTTATATACTTGTTCTCTCAAATACTTCAGACTCCTAAAACAGTGAAAGCTAATAAACCTAACAGTAAAATCTTTCCAAGGACTTAAGTCTTTTAAGTCAAATAAATGTATAAACATAAAGTCCTTTTAAATGTACACTTTCAAATTTAGTGATATTTTCTTGATGATTTCAAATTAATTTCTGACTTTTAAATATTTCAGATGACTTAGTAACAAGCAAAATCATGATTATAAAAATGCAAAATATAAATATGCTATAGTTTTGATTTATTTTATTTTCATATCTATATTTTCTGATGCCTGAAAAGTCACTTAAGTAACTAAGAGAAGCAGTTTTATCATCTGGGCAGACTAAAGTTACAATGTCTAAACTTTGGGTCAGGATAAAGTTACTTTTTTTTTTTTTTTTAAATTAGCTGCCACTTCTAGGATGACCTTCCTGCATCCTCAATGAACCTGCAGAGTCTCTTCTTGTAGTGAGACCTTGCCTGCTTTTATCAGTGGGGGACTTTTAACCTTCAACCTTCAGCTTAAATTTATTTTTACAACTCAATGTATCACAGGTGTCCTGGGGGCCTTGAAAGTTTTTTTAGAGGAATTTCTTTCAGCATCTTAGTGAATGATGGTTTTTTTGTACCACCATGTTTGCTGCTAATCAGTTTGTTACCTAATTAGAATTATATTAACTATTTTTAGATATTTTACTTTCTTGTCTGGTTTTATAGACCGCAATTTTATAGTCATAATAGAAATAATGTTGTATATACTATATAAGTATTCATATACATATAGGGATATAATGCATGTAAATCTTTCTGATTTCATATTTATGATTCATATACAGTCAAAGTGCAGTGAGTTTTTTGGGGGGACTTGTCAAAATGATTCTAAAATTGTTCTGAAATAATAAGCAGACTGGAATAGATGAAGTTTTACTTTTAAAAGAAGAATAATAAAGATGAATTTTAAATTCAAGATGTAAAAATATACCATAGAATTTCTCAGAACAGTGTGGTACTTGTTAAGGAATTTCTAGATACTAGATCAAAGTAACAGGATGGATTTCAGAAATAGTCCTTAAAATATCTAAGATGTTGTATATGATATTTGCCAGATCACCAGGGAAAAGAAGAATTAGTTATTGATGCTGGGAAGAAACCATGGTAGAGACTCATCGTTTACCTTATAGCATGGTAAATTCAACTTGGGTTAAAGAGTTCAATGTGAAAATTATATTTGTGAAAGACTGGATAGGTAAAGTCTTATATAAGAATTCCTGGTTGGAGAAGGACATTCTAGGCACAAAAGAAATGGGAGAAGCCATAAGGGAAAAGAGCCTAGTTTTCACTGCATAAAAAGTTTAATTTTCTTGTCCTGAAGGGGTGGCTCAATTAGTTGGAATGTCATCTTGTACACAGAAAGGTTGTTGGTTTGATCCCTGGTTGGGGGTGCATGCAGGAGGCGGCTGATCTATGTTTCTCTCTTTCTCTCCTTCTCTCCCCCCACCACCCCACTTCCCCTCTCTCTTTGGAGTCAATGAATGTATCCTCTGGTGAGAATAAAAGTTTAAATTTCTTTCATCTGACCTCACTCTAAGCAAAATTAAGCAGTAAATAACAGTGAAGGAAAAGTGTAAAAGAGATTACAGATACTATATAATACATATCACATACTAATATACATATTACATATTAATATTACATACTAATATATTAAAAGCCCTTACAAATCAACAAAACTTTAATTTTTTCAACTATTTTCTTAAGGCTGGACATTCAGATTTAGGTGAGTTTTAATATTTTTCCTATACAAACAAGGCTGCAGAGACTATCCATGTGGACGTGGTAAGTTCACATTTGAATGTGAGTTTTAAAAAGCAGGACACAACTTACACATGAAGCACTATATGTGTGTGTGTGTGTGTGTGTGTGTGAGTGTGGTGTATTTGCATATTTATACTTTGTAAACCCTCGGAATTCTAGGATTCACAATGTACTCTGTCCATTTCCAAATAACTGAAGTTCTTTGACATGTGATAATTTGCACTTTGCCAAGACCTGTGTTTGAGTTGTGAAAGGCTAGTATCTTAGGAAGTGAGCCTAAGCACATGACTCTTGAGACACTGGTTTTTTACTTATTCCAGGGAAGGCATTACTCTGAGCTGATGAAAACTTGGTCATTGTGAAGAATGACTCTAACCCTGGCTGGTGTGGCTCAGTGGGTTGAGGTCCAGCCTGTGACCCAAAAGGTCGTCTGTTCGATTCCTGTGCAGGGCACATGCCTGCATTGTAGGCCAGGTCCCTGGTTGGGGGCATGGGAGAGGCAGCCAATTGTTTCTCTTCCTTTCTTTGTCTTTCCTTTTCCTTCTCTCTCAAAATGAAAATAATTTTAAAAATCTTTTAAAAAATTACCCTGAAAAAAAAAAACTGTCTCCAAATAAAAGTAAATCATTGGTGATTAAAATAAAGAGGTCTTACAAAAGATGTTATTCTTAGCCAGAAAAAAAAGGTGTTGGATAAATTAAATAAAAAGCAATATTCTTGAGGGGTCTGCAATTTTGAGGATTCTTTAAGGCTTTTTTTAGCATGGGCTCTCTAATTTCAAAGATCTAGTGAATATGCACAGAAAAAAGACTAGAAGGAAATATGCTAAACAGATGATCTCTGAAGGATAGGATTTGGGTGCTTTTCATATATATATGAAAAATTTTATATATAAGACAAATGGTATTTAAACAGAAAAAAGCAGTAAATGGTAATTAAGATAAATTGAACTGTGGATTCTTGTTGACAATGAATTGATTTTAAACTTAAATCTGTATAACTGAACAGGAAAAATTGTGGTTTGACCTGGCCCTTCTTTTCAGTGTTAACAGAAGCCATGCAGTGACATCCGCTAAGACTTTTTGATAGCCATGTCGGAGCCCCACAGGGTCCAGTTCACCTCTCTCCCAGGTTCTCTGAATCCTGTGTTTTTGAAGAAGTCCCGGAAAGAGGAGGTTGGGGGAGCAGAGCAGCATCAGGACTCTGAGCCCGCTGCAGCAGCTGTGCGGATTACACTCACCCTCTTCGAGCCAGATCATAAACGTTGTCCAGAATTCTTCTACCCAGAGCTTGTGAAGAACATACGAGGGAAAGTAAAAGGCCTTCAACCTGGAGACAAGGTACCCACCCCTCCAGAGGCCCCAGACTCACTCTGCAGATCTATGCTCAGGGTAGCATGTGCACATGGGACTTTCAGAAGGTGAAAGCAAGACCAGGGAGGTTGTGGCTGCCCCAAGATCATGGCACCTATCCCAAAGCAAGCACTGGTTTGCTGGTTTTGCTCCTGGGCACAAAGGGATAGAATTCTTTCTAGAATCATTCTCCTGATTTATGCTAGAGAAAATGTAAGGCACATCCAAAGCTAATTTGAATTATGGCTAATTAATGTAAAGAAAAAAATTTTTTTATGCAAAGTCTGTAAATATCACATGTATGTAATATGACCGTCCTTGGCTGTTCCGGTGCTGGATTTCATGCTGGACATATTTCTTGTCCAAGGGATTCTCTGCCTCATGCAGGGGAAGATGAGAAAAGACACATACTATTCTCATACTATTATTTCTTCTCAACACGTTAATATATTGGATAGTTACTTTACCCAAAGGGATAGGAACCTATTTTTCTAAGTTTTTTCTTGTTTTACTTACTTTGGGTGTTAGTGGGTTAGTAGCCTCTGGGGCTTTTGAGAATCAGTTTGATTTCTCAAGTGTTTTTAAATGATGTATTTATTTTCTGGCAGATTTGTTTTTACTTTTTAGTATGGAACTTCTCAAAGCACAGAGTACAGAGAATACTATAATAAGCCCTATGTGCCTGTTACCCAGTTTCAAATGTTACCAAAGTTTTGACAATTCATTAAAATTATTTTAAAAATTTATAAACTTTTTATTTGAATTATGCACTAAAGAAAAGTGCACACGTGATAAATGGCTGGTTTATTGGATTTCCACAGACTTAACATATCCATGGACCCTGTACCTAGATTACAAAATACAACATTTTCCAGGACACCAGAAACCCTCCTTCTCTCTTCCCAAAATACTACCCTGCCCTCAAGGGTAACAATGACTGCCCTGATTTCTAGCAGCTTAGGTCAGTTTTGCCAGTTTTTGCATTTTATGTAGATGGAATCATACAGTATGAGCCGGAGCTAGGTGGATAGCATTTGTAAGCACCTACTGTATGCCTCTGCCCTATGTGAGGCAGGTTGGTTAGTTGGATACCACACTCTGCAGCATTTTGTTCTCTAGAGTGGCTTTAGGCAATTTGGGATTAGATTAGTGCCTGGTTTACATGGTGTCCGAGATGATGTCAATGAAGTTTCCACCACAGTGCCTCAGTGGCCAATGCTCCTTCAGTCTAATTCATGGTTGTGCTGTTGGGGTGAGTACCTTTGGTTAGAAGGATTATTCCGTTTTCTTTGCTCAAGTAAAAATGTTTCCTTAATTAAGTTCTGATTTGCTGGATGGAAGCCAATTGAGTCTGTGCCAAGGGTCAGCTTATTGTATGAGGGCCAGTGGGCAGATGAAAAATAGTAATTTCAAATTCACCGACAATCCCTCTTTTGAAGTAGGAATAGTTTCCTCTTCTTTGAGAGGAAGAGGAAATAGCATGGATTAATTAAACTACTTTTTTATGGGCTCAAACCCAGGTCAGTAGGTGACCCGAAATTAGAACTCCAGTCCTTCAGTTTCATTTCTTGGGGGGGGGGTTCTAGATGTTGTTCTCCATTGAAGAAAAATGCATGGAACATACACAGAGAACACTGGATTCAGTTTCAGGGGATTTAACCCTTGCCTTCAGATTGAAAATTCCTGAATCATTGAGTTTACTCTGCAGTGCTCAGAGCACAGTGTGATCTGACATTCATGTATTCATTCATTTAGCATATATTTCTTACCATGTGAAGACACTGCGCTAAGATTCTGAGGACTGTATAAGGTGGAAAAGCTGCTGTCCCAGCCTCAGAGGAACTTGCAATCTTATAGATATATTAGGAGAATTGAATTATACCAACACAGGTAACAGGAGTCACAGTGTGGTACTTGTTTAAATCTGGTATAAATACAGGTCCTGGAGGGTTTGGACAGAGGAGAGCTTATATCCTAAATGTGTTTGGGCAGAGCTGGACCTTCATATGTTCAGGAAATAGCAATTATTGGATAACTGTTGTTTGCAGGGCATTTAGGAGTACACAGTGAATCCAACACTTAATCTGGGTGGGTGGGATTTCTTAAAATTATTTGAACTCCTTTAATATGTGATCATTGTAGAAAAATTAGAAGACACCAATAGGCACATGTTTTAAAGACCACCTTTTGTGGAACATATGTATGTTCTGTAATATTTCATTCCTCATATAGAACCTAAATTATTTAACATTCTTTATGGGTGAGTGGGATTTAAGTAGTCAGAGATAAACACTAAAGATCTAATTTTTAGTGTTTTTGGCCTACTCTGAAGTCTTAAGGTATTTAATATGGGTGTTTTTTATTATTAAAATTAAGATTCCTTTCCAAAGAAGCTAAAGGTTTAACTGTGGAAAACCGATGAGAAAAATGCAAGAGTAAGTTTATGGAGTTTTTGGAAAACTGCATGAAAATTTTTGTAGTATTCAGATTGGGAGGAAAGAGATTACTGATCCTTCAAGATAGGTGTCCAAGGAATGGACTGCTATGAACCTGGGTTTGATTTTCCATAGAACTGAGAAAAGCAAATTCATACCATTTTTTTGACCAATAAGGCAGAATAACTCTTAAGAATTTGTGCTACATTCAATGGGTTTGTAACCTTTTTGAGCCACAAACTGCTTTGGAAGTGAACCCCTTCTTAGAATTGTGTTTTTAAGTACATAAAATAATTTTTAGGGTGACAAAAGAAACCAACTACATTGAAACACATGTCTATACAGGTTGAGCGTCCCTGACTAAAGGACCTTTGCTGCCTTTGGAGCTCTGCAGGGCCTTTGGGTGGGCAGTTGTAGGCATTTAATTAAGTTTTGTTGAGTTACATGAATGGAAAATTTTCTTAAACAACTAAAGTAAGCACTGATGGGAAGGTAGCATGTTTTCTACCTGTCTTTTCTGAAAAACAGCTATTTTTATTACACAGTTTATAGGTGTTAAGTAGTCAGTGGATATACTATGAGTACATAATAGAGAATTTTTGTAACTCTTGTTTTGTGGAATGGTCTTTTTACAGAAGAAAGATCTCTCGGATCCTTTTAATGATGAAGAAAAGGAAAAGCATAAAGTGGAGGCCCTTGCCCGGAAATTTGAAGAAAAATATGTAAGATTTTTCTTTGGGGGACAAAATAACCGCACGGGGTGGGAAAGGTTTCTAGATGTTTCCACATTTTTTAGGGGAATATTATCTAATCAACACTGATGTGGAAATAAGTGTAGAACTTGGAGAGAACAGAATAGTTATTAAAGAAATGCATGAAGGTGCAGAAAATGCATGCAGCCGGACTAATGTGTGCAGTGAAATGGATGGATGCTGTGGAAGGAATAAACAAGAAGGACCTTTTACTCCTAGAATGTATCATTAGGATAAATGTTTTGATAAAACACATATGAAGTCCTTTAGTTCATTCTTCTGTCTTAGGCCATTTTATGCAGATATAAATCTGTCCTATTTTAGATTTTTTTCAAGATTTCATTAATTTTTAGAGGTAGGGGAAAGGAAGGAGAAAGAGAAGGAGAGAAACATCAATCAGTAGCCTCTTGCATGTGCCCCAGCTGTGGACTGGACCTGCAACCTAGACATATGCCCAGACTAGGAATCTAACCAGTGATTTTTTTGCTTTGCAAATGACAGTCAGTCTAGTGAGCCACACTGGTCAGGACCTGTCCTATTTAAAAGGTCTTTAGGGAGAATGTGAGTGTGAACGTTCCAGTGCTTTATAATCTTTAGTCACTAGCTGATGAAATTCAAGGCAACAATTCTGTGTATTTAAAAGCATGTGACCTTAGACTTAAAAATTTGTTAGGAGGGTAGATTTCATGTTATATGTTCTCAGCACAGTTACAAAGAAAAAAAAAGCACTTGATCTGTTTAAAATTTTAGGGTGGAAAGAAACGTAGAAAAGACCGAATACAGGACTTAATTGATATGGGGTATGGTTATGATGAATCCGATTCCTTCATCGATAACTCTGAGGCGGTAAGTACTTAATGAAAATGCCGCATAGGAACTACCACACCCTTGCTCCTACTAGTGATGGCCCAGAAGCTGGGGGATGGCACAGAGCGGACCTGCCCTTACCATGAGGAAGGACCTGTACTGATAGAGAGGAAGTGGCACTCTTGATGTTGGCCTTGCTTTCCTTACTGGAAAGGATACCAGATCTGTCCAAAACACCTTCTAGCTCAGACATTCATGACTGACCAGAAGCATGTGTAGGCATTTAGTCTGAAATGTGACAGAGAAACATCTGCTCTGCATCTTTGGACTACAGCACCAGCACTTGGAGCTGACTTTGTTTTCTCCTTTCAGTATGATGAGCTCGTTCCTGCTTCTTTGACTACAAAGTATGGAGGATTTTATATTAACTCTGGAACCCTGCAGTTTAGGCAAGCATCAGAATCTGAGGATGACTTTATTAAAGAAAAGAAGAAAAAATCTCCAAAGGTTAGCATGTTGCTTGCTTTTGGATTTCAAAAGTGCTTTTTTTTTTACTAAACCTTGTGAGATCAGTGGGTGACTTGCCAGAATAGTGCTGTTTAAGGATAGCTTAGGAGATTGGTGGAAAGGCATGAGCTGTGCTGAGGTTGACAGTTACCTCTCACACCTGTGCTGTGCAAGGTGCTGTGCGTCCCAGCAGGCTTGGCAGGGATTTCTTTTTTTGAGGTTGTTTCAGAGTGGGGATGAGGGTAGTGAAGGGTGTGACGTGAGGGGAGTTTGCACCAGTATTGCTGTTTCTTTTCTGTGGACATGTTGAGGTCTTCAGTTCCCAGCTCTCACCCCAGTGAAAACAAGTTAGCCTTAAGATAAGTTTATTTTGAAATCTATTTATTACTGCCTGTGTATTTAAAAAGAGGCAGTGCTCACATACAGCTCATTTTACTAGAATGGTTTCTGGCTGCACAATGGCCGCAGTTGTCTCAGTCCTGGGTGCTTCCAGGAGACAGTCAGTGGCAGTGCTGTGTTGACCTGCCACAGGTCTGTGGTCCAGGATTGATCTGAAAGCTTTTGTTCATGAAGGAACTAGGACAGTTCTCAGGATGTGCCCTGGGTGGAGCAAGGCTAGTGCTGTGTCGTGCACTTGCTCCCTGAGTGAGGGAGCTGGGTAACTATGCCTTGTCTTTAATTCTCAGAAGCGGAAGTTGAAGGAAGGTGGTGAGAAGATAAAGAAGAAGAAAAAAGATGACACTTATGACAAGGAGAAGAAATCGAAAAAATCCAAATTTTCCAAAGCTGGGTGAGAGGCAGCAGCTTCTTTCTGGGGTAAAATCTGCACTGATAGGGCAGGACACCAAGGAGCTGACTCGCCCTCCTTCTCTCAGCTTCAAAGGAGACAGTAGAGCCTGGGCTTCTGTTCCCCCTCACGCCTCCCACAGTGCCATTGTAGGCAGAGTCAGTGCTCTCACGTCTCTGTTACCAGACATGCAGAGTTCTCTCTGTCCCACCGTCAGTGTTGGCGGCTATTTCTGTCACTGTATGACTACTGCTGTTTCTTGTTCTCTTGGGCACTCCTCCCTGCCCCGGTTCTCCTGTCTCCGCTGTTTCCCTTTGTCTTCTGGTCCTGCTTCCTTTTGCCTCACTAGTCTCACCCCAGCTGCCCTTCAAGTTGCTGCTGCTTTCTACTGTTCCTGCGTTCCCCCTTTGAATACTTTTCTTGCTTGGCCCCTTTTTGCAACCTTTTGTTTCAGTCTGGTAGTGCTTTTTTAAAAATTTTAAATTGTTGTTCAAGTACAGTTTTCTGTCTTTTACTCCAACCCCAGCCCACCCACCCCCAGTCCTCCCCCCTCCCACCCATTCCTCCCCCCCAACCAGTTTTTGTCCATGTGTTCTTTGTTCCTACAAACCCTTTCCCCTTTTCCCCTGAAATTTCCTCCCCTCTCCCCCTGGTCACTGTCAGCCTTTTCTCAATTTCAGTGTCTTTGGTTATATTTTGCTTGTTTGTTTTGTTGATTAGGTTCCTGTTAAAAGTGAGATCATATGGTATTTGTCTTTCACTTCCTGGCATATTTTGCTTAGCATAATGCTTTCCAGTTCCATCCATGCTTTTGCAAAGGGTAGGAGCTCCTTCCTTCTTCAGCCTGGCAGTGGTTTTTAAAAACCCATCGGATATGTAGCAAGCACTTTGTGTCACAATTTTGCTAACATGTATTAAATCTCAAGCTTTGGTCCCAGCAAGAAGGAGACCCATGTGCCAAGAGGAGGGAGGAGGAATGACAGGGTAGACTTGTGACTGAGGTTCCTGGAAACCATTGCACTGGGAGCAAGGGTGAAGTCCCTCTGTGAATTTCCCTTTTGAGGTGTACTGCAACCTTAGTAACCAATTTCCCCCTTACTTGCAGCTTCACAGCCCTCAATGCCAGTAAGGAAAAGAAAAAAAAGAAATATTCTGGGGCTTTGAGCGTTAAAGAGATGCTAAAGAAATTTCAGAAGGAGAAAGAGGCTCAGAGAAAGAGGGACGAAGAGCATAAACCTGTAGCAGTTTCATCAGCTGAAGCTCAGGGCCTACGGGAATTGGAGGGTACCTCTGACCCCTTGCTGTCTCTCTTTGGCTCCACTTCTGACAATGACTTGCTCCAGGCGGCTACTGCCATGGACTCGCTGACTGATTTGGACTTGGAGCATCTGCTCAGTGAGTCTCCAGAAGGAAGCCCTTTCCGTGATATGGATGATGAAAGCGATTCCCTTGGGGTGGGACTGGACCAGGAATTCAGGCAGCCCTCTTCCCTCCCTGAAGGCCTGCCTACGCCCCTGGAGAAGCGCATTAAGGAGCTGGCTCAGGTATGGTGACACAGAGTGGCTAGGCTTTCCTGGAAGTGGAAATGGTTTGGGCAGATTGACACTGGTTCTGCACCACATGAAGCTTGCTGCCCAAAGCAATCCTTAGTGAGTTGACAGTTTCAGTATAGGCTCTTCCAGGCTTTCTTCTCATCCCAAGCAGGAAACAGTGTAGCTCTGCTTGTCAAATGTCATTTTTAGGCCTTTTGTGCTTCCTTCAGTCTTAGAAAATTTACTTTCTTCCAGGGAGATTTTTCTGTTTTCTGTCTGTAAGTTCTCTTCCCACAAAGTATCTTTCCTTTTGTATGATAGACTGACACTAATGTTGGCAGCAGGCAGCTGAGGCAGAGATCCATCTTTTTAGTAATCTGTTGAAGATTTTGGAAATTCACAAAAGGTTGCAGACATGTTGCACATAGACTATATGCTTAGTTACCACTGGGTTTTAGCTGCTCCCTAGACTTGCATGTCATTAGTGATAGGTATTGTTTACAGGAATGCCTAAATGATGATAAAAAGGAGGAGAATCTTAAATGCTGTCCATACCTTATTAAAAACAGTGACAACTGTCAGAATCAAGGAGCCATTGCTATTGTCCTCTGACAACAGGGAATTGATACTTAGAATACTAAGTGGTGCCAATTTAGTAACATATTCCTACCTAAAAACTAAGCACGGTGTGTTAGTCTTGATGACATTTACCCTTTAGTTAAAACGACCTTTCACCTTGGACATAATGGCTTGTCACGTAGCTACAGTGGCATTTCTTCTTTACATAGTTGTAAGTTTTTTTTCTTTTTAAAATATTATATACCTGTACATTTTAAACCAGTGATTCTCATAATGTTCTAGAATCACTATATGCATATCCGTGTGTAAAGGGCAAGGTAAATGTTAACCACTGCTACAAAGGATTTTCTCACTTCCAAAAAACATTTGAATACAACATATGAAGTAAATCAAATGACTTATTCAGATCTCTAGTTCATTCTCATTAGCTCGTGTGAGATGTTGGACAAAACCATTCTATCTGAATGTAATGATTTAAATGAATTGTACCACATTAGAAATTCAGAGTATATCTTAATAGAATATTAAGTTGCAAGTAGTTGAATCTGAACTTGGCATGTTTGAGCATGCTATTGTGTATTTACTCTCAGAATTTATGTCAAAGAACCATTATGCCTTGTTCTTTTCAGTCCTCTGGTTTGTAAATTGTTTCAAAGCATCTGAAAGTCTTGTCAAGTAATTTGAGTAAGGTATATGTGGCAGTAACTAGTCAATTTTAGAGAAAAGTCAAGGCAATTCTTGGATATGTCCCTACTCCCACCATAGGTTGTGTTATAGTCTAATAACTTCCACTATTTCCCTTTCTTGGGAAAGACGGACACATTTAGTGGAAACAAAGTGGCGTACCATGAAAGAGCACTTGGCTGTGATTTAAGAGAGCCTTCTAGAGTGCCCTGGGTGGACACTGAGCAAAATGTTCTACCTCAGTGTTTGCCAAGTCTTGGTTATCTCTTGGACACTATGGAGACAGGGCTCAGGATTCCATAGATAAGATAGGCTGGGTCCTGGTGGGGTGATGGTGACCAGGAGAGATTGGTCTGTTCACTTGAAAATGATGAGATGTGAAATTGATACTTTAGTCATCCTCTGATTGTTGTGTAATAGCATTAAGAAACTTTGGGAAATGAGATGGAAAGTGGGAATTACCCATCATCCTGACAGTCTGAAAACTTTAATTTACATATTTTTTCTAGGGTCTCTATATGTTTTTATGTAGTTGTAATTATAGTTGTGAATGATTGTTTCCTGCTTTCTTCACTTAATAAATATTATAAACTCTCATTACTTTTAATGGTTGCATGAGAAAGAAGGCTTATTTTTGAAAGTTACTTACTTTAATGCTACTCCTGAGGATCCCCAGGTTCTTTGTTACCACCAGGGTCCTGCACTTGCGGCACTTGGAGCCTCCTGCACTTGGGCATGAGTGCTGTAGACTCAGAGTCTCCTGAGAATCTGTTGGGAAAGATATTCTTCCCAGGAAAAAAATGGCTGTGCACACAAAAATTGCGTATAATTTCAAAAGCCATACACGGGTATTTGGATCCTTAGTAAGGAGGCCTGTCCTAGATCTTGAACTGGATATTGCAATTTTAAAGCTTAAATTAAACTTCATATCTATAACTATATATTAGCAGTGTTATGTATTTCTCAGTTTTTACTCACTTTATTTTTTTCCTCTTATTGCCTTTATTTTTATAATAATTTGTTAGATTTTAAATCTTGGCCCTAGATGATACATGTATCAGTGTCTATTGTTATCTAAGAAACTACCCCCAAACTTAGTGGTTTCAAAAAGCAGTTCATTTCTCCTGACTCTTTGGGTAGGCTGGGTGGTTCCTCTTGTTCTGCCTGGGTGCTATCTTGTGCCCACGTTGAGCTGGCAGATGGCTGTGAGCTGGGACAGTGTGGCCTCTCTCTCTCCTTTCGTCTTTCATCCTTGTCTTTTTCAGTGTGTGGCAGTCTCAGGGCAACATTTCAAGCAATAGTGGAAGTCATAAGGCCCTTAAGATCTAGTCTGAGAAATTGTATGTACCATATCACTTTGGCCACACTGTATTGGTAAAGTAAATCACAAGTGCACGCCAGATTGGGGGGTTGGGGAACTAGAGACCGCCTCTCCCTGCAGGAATGCATGTTCTGGGAGGGGAGGAATCTGTTGTCCTGTTTGCAGTCTACCATGGAACATAAGTGGATTCTCATCTGATGTGATCCCTTAAGGAACATTTTTTTTCTTTGGGAGGCAAGAATTAGATTTATGTTCAAGCTAGATGTGATACTTAAAACTTTAAAAAAATATATTTGAAAACTTGAGTATGTTAAAGAGGTCCTCCAAGAGGGTGAACTTGGTGAATACCCAGGCAGTGTTTACTCTTTTCTTCTCATACTAGCCCAGTTTTCACTTCTTACTCCTTGGTGCCGCACATTTTAATGGGCCCCAGGGACTCCAGTGATTTGATTCAATGGTCTTAACCATTCTTCTCTTAATGTGTTGATTTTGTATTTTGTTTTGATTGTTGAAAAGCTCAGGTGTGGCACCCCGTTAGATTACTCTTAGTTTGGCAGATACACGGCCTGGTCTATACAGATGACCCAGGTCTGTTGTGGTCCTCTCCAGTCAAGCATAAAATGCTAACAATACTAAGAATAGAAAAGAAACAGAGTCCCCATGTCACCTACCCTGCTGCTCTGGCTGCTCACTGTTTACTGTCCTACTGAGTTAGAACCCCCACATTACAAATCCAGGGAGACGTGGCTCCAAGGAGAATAAGGTTGGAAAAAACTAACTTGTGTGATCTTCCTTAAAAAAGAAAATTGTGCCAGGTTTAATTCTGTTTGGTAAAAACAGGTACAGTATGTAAGGTTCCGAACTAGGTACTGAGAGGTTATAAGTGGCTTTTCTTACAATAAATAAAATAGCTCATTAAAAGTCTGTTGGAACTATTGTAGATCAGCATGATCTGGCTGGTATAACTTTACTTTCTAGTTAATCTTGAATTGATCAGTTTATTCAATTCCTTGGATAAGGGTGTCCATTTTTAAGGTTGAGGGACCTAATGTATTTCTGGAAGACTTTCAGATGCATATCCAATTGCTCTTTTAATTAGATTCATTTAAAAATGCAGACTTGACTTAATTATCTTTGATATAAAACCAGACCTTCAGAGGTACTGTCTGTACAATCCAAAAGGCAGCAGGGAAAAAATTCTTTTAAAAATTATATAGCCAAGAGCTTCTGAAATAATGGAGAGATGGCTGATACTTAAAAATAAATTGATTGGAAACTTGATAAACAGTGGTGAATTTAAAATACATGCTGAAGTAATTACTTTGAATTACTACGAAGGTGCTTCTGGATCTCATAAATAATAGTGTATAAGCTTAAGCAAAAGAATGGCTCAGCTTTGTTTTCTCTCAAAGCAAAATCATACTTCCAGTACATTAGAAGTGTCAAGTTAGAATTCCAAATCCTTCTGAAAGTATAAGAAATTGGCAGATGAATAGGTTAAAAGTCACCCCATTTTCATCCATCCATTTGACTCCCTTTCATTTCAGGCTTCTGTGCTATCCTCTAGCCAAGGGATCTTGCAGAAGCTGCAAGTTGTGTTTGGTTGTTTAGTACTAAGCTTTTCTTCCTCTAGTTTGCATTCTTTCAGTGATATCTGTTCATTTGTTTATTCATCCATCTACTCAGCTGGTATTTACTAAGCATCTAATATGTGATAGGCAGCTTTGGGAAGTACATTGATGAATGAGATTCTGTTCTTATCCATGAGTTATATAAATGGACCAGTAGACATGTAAATAACTGACTGTTGGGCAAAACAGAACAAAATAAGCCCTGTGATGTTTTGATGGCCAAGTAGATGGCAGATAGCCAGCTGTAAGGAGATGTAAGAAGCTCTCTGTAGGGGTATACTGCACTTGGGCTGCAGGCACTTGGCCAGCCTCTAGGGAGAGATGGCGTGTTAGTAAACCAGGGCAGAGCTGAGAATTGGTGAGTTGTTGGATGGTGGGGCCACCCTAGTATGTGGTAGGAGTATGGCTGGGTCCAGATCCTAGAGAATCCTCAATGCCATATGAAGGAGTTTGGATTTGATTCTAGACTTGGAAAGAGGTGTTGAAGAATTCTAAAGAACAGAGTGGAAGGATTTAAGAAAAATAGAATGCGGTTATTAGAAGTACGGAACATAAGAGGAAGAGGAGAAACTAGTGGGTTTGGTTTTGGCAGGTTTGCATACCAGAGGGCCATCCATTTATAGAAATAATTGGAAGTTACTTAGAAGTAATTGGAAATTCTGATTTAGAGCTTAGAAAAAAAAGGGTTATGAGCTTAGAAAAAAAGGGGTTATGGGCTTAGATTTGCAAGACCTACATGCATTTTTGTTGTTTTGAAGCTGTGAGGGGGAAGGCATTACTGAGAGAAGTGGGTTTTAGATAGAACCTTGGGAGTCCATCTGTAATCAAAGAGCTAGTGGAGGAGACAGACGCAGTAGTCAAAGGTAGGAAGACCCAATGAGGAAGGCATGTGGAGCGAAATGAAAGGGGAGGATGGTTATTAGTGTCTGCTGTTTCAGAGCGCTGGATCAGGATCGATAATTTTATTTATATTTTTTGAAGATTTGTATTTATTTTTAGAGAGATGGGAAGGGAGGGAGAAAGAGAAAGAAACATCGATGTGAGAGAGAAACATCAATCAGTTGCCTCGTACATGCCCTGACCAGGACTGAACCCACAAGCCAGGCATGTGCCCTGACCAGGAATCAAACCTGCAACCTTTTACTTTGTGGAGTGATGCTCAACCAACTGCCACACCAGTCAGGGCAGGATTAATCATTTCATTTTAGATAGTGACATTATCCAATTTGCCATTATTATTATACTATATACCAAGCCTGAAGTTTTACTTGTCTTTGAAAACCTTCAGCAGTAACTCTTGGGTTTAGATCAGTGATTCCCCATCCTCTCTTTCCCATAGAGTCACCAGAGTTACTTTTAAAGAGTACTGATGCTTGGGCCTTTCTTAAAGAATAGAGACTCATGGGTCTCCTTCCCTGAGTTTCTGATGTGATTGGTCCAGAGTGGGGAAAGCTAACAGGTGATTCCAGTGCGCAGCCAAGTATGAGAACCACTGGTTCAGACTTTGGCAGAGTTTGCTTTCCTCACTTGTGCTTTCAGAGCCATGGCTACTTGCTGTGGTTGCTTCAGGGATCAATCATGCCTGCCATCCAGATGTTGACTGTGTTCTTATAGGAAACAAAACACTGTATAGTAACCTGCTGTATCTCTTTTAATAGGTAGTAAGGTATGTTAGTAATTCCAGTTATGAATTTTCAGAGAATTACAATGTTTTTAAATGTTAAAGTAGCACATTATTATTATTTTGGAAGATAAAGGCCTTCAAATATTGCAGGTTTCTTAAAAGTTCTTGATTGTTTTTGTACTGTAGATGTATGGAAATTCCACCTTGCGGTTTAGATGATAGAATGCTAGGCACAAGAGTTAGCTAGCTGGATAAATCAAATGCAAAATGATTGCTTTGACTTTGTGATTTTCTTTTATGTGACTGTTTTTTCAAGTCCTGGACAGAACAGACAGTCCATGGATACTTCAGCAGCATTTGAAGAGAGCTGGATACACCATTTCTAGAGCATATAATGATCACAGGTGTAATTATCTGAGCTTAGGGCTGAGTAGGGAAGGGCACGGTGAGGATTTGATCGATAGGTGTTCTGTAGGGAGCGACTGCCCTTGTGCGTGTGGGTGAGTGTGAGGACCCTGTGGGGAACGTGCACTAATGGATGTTACTGTCTGCTATGAACCAGGCTGCCAGAGCTGCTGAAGGAGAGAGCAGACAGAAGTTCTTCACCCAGGATATTAATGGAATCCTCTTAGAGTGAGTATTTTTTGTTTTTTTTTACTGTTACCATGCCTGGGATGATCAGGCCAGGGGAAATGGGAGCGCGATTGAACTACACGAAGGTGACTGCCCATGAGATTTTTAAAATGTCTTTTGTTTTATTCTTTTTAAAGGAGGGACAGGCAAGCCAAATATATGTCTCTAGGAAATGATAGAACTTACTAATCTTAGCAGGCATTATTAGAAGACTGTGTAACATAGTCATAGCCTATTGGGAGTGAATTTTGGGGTAAATATGAGATGAGACAAGAGAGAAGGTGTTGCTTGCCTGTCTGTGATAAAAGTGAGAGATGATTTGGTATAGCCAGGGGACTGCTCTGCTGAATGATTTTTAGTGTACCTGGTCATTCTCTTGTTGCTTTCACTTCTGCTCCCAGGGTCATTGTGTAGCATCCTCCTGTAAGACTTCTCCCAAATGGCCGAAACCCTGAGACGGCACACTGTATGAATTGGATTAATAAGCAGAAAACCCCCCAATACCCCCCTTCTTCAGTCCTCCCCCCCAACATATAAATCCAAACCAGGTTCTTTGTATGGGGCTCTCTAGCTTTCCAGCTTCTCTCCTGGTTGCATTTTGTATTATCTAGCAGAGACAACTTATTGCTCAACAGCTAAAGATTTTTCACACGTAAGAACAGTTGTCAAAACTTGGGAATATTCTAGCAAAGGACCTTGCCTGGCCATTATGGGGACTGACCACTTGGGCCAGGAAGCTTGGGCTATAGAGAGCACCTGTGAATCAGCACAGATGAGAATTTTAGGTCCACAGTGCCTGCTAGAGTGTGACCAATGTGGAGAGCTCAAGGGATCAAAGATTATTTGAAATAGTATTCTGCTTATCTGGATGGGGACACTGGAGGGATAAGCATTTCTGACTATCCTAATCAGGGATAGAAAAGGAAGGAGGGGTTGCTGGAAAGTATTGACCCAAGTAACTTACTTTCCAGTTTGAAAGCTTTTATATCTTCTTAATTTATGAAATTTAGTACTTCAGGACTTATTCTCCTGGGCTCTGATAACCTTTGACTTGGTCTTGTCTTTGACCTGAGAGCCTTAACCCATTTTGCCCAGCCAAGTTCATTAGGTTTGGGAATTTTTGTTTGGTGACTGTTGGAGATCTGTTGCACTGGCCACTAGGTTGCACAGTGTGACTGACAAGATAAGGTTTGACCCTCTCTTGGCTCCTAGCTTTCCTGTCTGTGGTAGGTGACCTAATGACCAGAGAAGATGCCATGAGCTGCGCAGCCCATTGATAACTGTTCTGTTCTTCAGCATAGAGGTGCAAACTCGGGAGCTGAGTAGCCAGGTCCGTTCTGGGGTGTATGCCTATCTTGCTTCATTCCTGCCCTGCAGCAAGGACACCCTTGTCAAACGTGCTCGAAAACTTCACCTCTATGAACAGGTGGGTGACTCCGCAGTGGAGCCTGTTGGCTTTGGGGTCCAGAGGAGAGGGTGACTGAGTCTTCACAGATGCTGTATGTGCTGCTGCACTGCCTCTGTGCAATTATTCCTGTAGTGTGTCCTCCCTACAGAAGGTATGGGAAGGTATACCTCACTACTAGAGCTATAAGAAGAGATGTACAAAACAGAGTCATGATATGTCCTGCTCTCTGCAGGGGGGGCGTCTGAAGGAGCCTCTCCAGAAGCTCAAAGAAGCCATTGGCAGGGCAATGCCAGAGCAGATGGCCAAGTACCAGGATGAATGCCAGGCACACACACAGGCCAAGGTTGCTAAGTAAGTATGTCCCATTGCTCTTGTTAGCATTCTCACCTCCTCATCTTAGAAGTCCCTGGGGTGGGGACAAGGGGGAGGCACAAGAGAAAGCAGTTCTTCTGTGGTGACCTTAGGGTCCTGTTTAATTCTGTTCACCTGGTAGGATGCTGGAAGAGGAGAAAGACAAGGAGCAGAGAGAACGAGAACGGATTTGTTCTGATGAGGAAGAAGATGAAGAAAAGGGGGGCAGGAGGATAATGGGACCCCGGAAGAAATTTCAGTGGAATGATGAAATCAGGTGTGCCCAAACTGGGTCCGGGTTTGTGGGGCCAGTGTCTGAGCATGTTCCCGTATTTCTAATGAAGGTTAGAATCATTTACTTTAATCAGGGCTGGTGAAAGCACATGATTAAAACCTTGAAGAAGCATTTGGGATAGTTTGAGTTTCTGACTTCTGACTACTCCTCAGGGAGCTGCTCTGCCACGTGGTGAAGATAAAACTGGAGAGCTATGATCTGGAGAGGAACAACAAGGCCCATTCCTGGGAGGACTATGTGAAGGTGTTTCTGGATGCTGAGGTCAGACCTCTCTGGCCCAAAGGCTGGATGCAGGCCAGGTGAGGGCTCATGAACAGCCATTATGTTCCGTGTGATGATAAGGTGGGACATTCTTACAGTAAAGAAATATTTGAGTGCTTCTTTTGTGCCAGGCCAACAGGGTTTCTTCCTTTACAGAATCACTATCTGGTTGACTCAACTCTAAATTCACATGAGGAATTGGGGAACATATAAGTCTTCTTGGTCTTCCTCAGAAGAAGGAAGTTGTCTGCTGGGTTTCGCCTTTGTCCCATTTCAATTCAGAGTTGGCTACATGCTCTTCCTATCTCCGTCTGCCCTTTCTGTTTTGAGATAAGGCTCCTACTAGAAGCTGAGAGATGGAAACATCTTCCTGTAACGAACAGAAGTTACATTTGCAAGTAGCAGGGCTGACTGCTTATTGGAGTTAAGTGCTAGACTTTTCTTATAGGCTGCTTTGTGTTATGTAGCTTCCCTTGAATGGGCTACATTTGCAATACACAGACAAAGTTAGCTAGAGCTAATGTTCTTTTTTTAAAAGATTTTATTTATTTATTTTAGAGAGAGGGGAGGGAGAGAGAAAGAGAGGGAGAGAAACATTGTTTGGTTGCCTTTAGCATGCTCCCATCTGGTGACCTACCTCGTAACCCAGGCATGTTCCCTGACTGGAAATGGAACCAGTGACTTTTCAGTTCTCAGGCTGGCACTGAATCCACTGAGCCACACTGGCCAGGGCTAGGGTTCTTTTTTTAAAAAATCATTATTGTGGTAAAATATACTTATTGATAAAATTTACAGTCTTAACCATTTAAGTGTACAGTCGAGTGGTATTATATACATTCACATTGTTGTGAGCCATCACCACCATCTGTATTCATCTTGTAAAACTGAAAATCTGTACCCATTAACTGATAAACTCATGTTTCTCTCTCCCTGTAGACACTTGCATCCACCATTCTACTTTCCGTCTCTGTAACTTTGACTGCTCTCAGTGCCTCATATAATTAGAGTCATACAGTATTTGTCTCTTTGTGACCAGCTTACTTCACTTAGCATAATGTTATCAAGGTTCATCCATGTTGTAGCATGTTACAGAATTTCCTTTTTAAGGCTGAATAACATTCCATTATATATACATATTGCATTTTGCTTATCCATTCATTTGTTGATGCAAACTTATGTTGCTTCCACATTGTAGCTATTGTGAATAATGCTGCCAAATGAACATGAATGTACAAATATCTCAAGCCCCTGCTTTCAATTATTTTGGGTTTATATATACCTAGAAGGGGAATTGCTAGATCATATGTTAATTCTATGTTTAATTTTTTGAGGAATTTTCCACAGTAGCTGTTATTTTCTATTTCCACCAACAGTCTACAGGATTCTCCAGTTTCTCCACATTTTCACCAGTACTTGCTTATGGTTTTTTGTTATTGTTTTTTAAATTTTTATTTTTATTTTAATATTTATTTTAGAGGGAGAGAGAAAGAAACACTGATTTGTTGTTCCACTTGTTTTATGCATTTATTGGTTGTTTCTTGCATGTGTCCTGACCAGGAATCGAACCTGCACCTTGGTTTATGGGGACAACACTCTAACCTACAGAGCTACCTGGCCAGGGATTTGGGATTTTTTGACTATAGTCATCCTAATGGGTATGAGGTAATATCTCATTGTAGTTTTGAGTTGTATTTCCATGATGATTAGGGATGTTGAGCATCTTATTAAGTACTTCTTTGCAAAAATGTCTGTTCAAGTCATTTGCCCATTTTTAAATTGGTTTGCTTGTTTTGCTTTTTTTAAAGATTTTACTTATTTACTTCTAGAGAAAGGGCGAGGAAGGGAGAAACAGAGAAGGAAACATCAATGTGTGGTTGCCTCTTGTGCGCCCCCAACTGGGGACCGGGCTCGCAAACCAGGCATGCGCCCTGATTGGGATTCAAACTGACGAGCCTTTGGTTTGCAGGCTGGCACTCAATTCACTAAGCCACACCAGCCAGGGCTGATTTTTTAATTGTATATTTTATTATTTATGCCATTATAGTTGTCTGAAATGTTCCCTCTTTGTCCCCCTCCATCCAGCCCCCTACTCTCTAGGCCACAGCTGGCAAATACAAGGCCTGAGGGCTGAATCTGGCCCTTCACTTTGTTTCACCTGGCCCAGCACTTTTTTCTACCCGGTGGCAGCGTTGAGCTCCTTGCCCCTTGTTAAGGAGTAGTTACATTTATACAGTCCTAAAATTATATTCAGACCTTTGAGGGCAACCTAGATGGAGGCTGATGTGGCCCTTGGTGAAAATGAGTTTGACACCCATGCCCTAGGCAATCCCCACACCATTATCCATGTCCGTGGGTTCTCCATATATGTTCTTTGGCTACTCTATTCCCTATGCTGTACTTTACATTCCCATGATTTTTGTGTAACTACCAATTTGTACTTCTTAATCATTTCACCTGTCTCAATCATCCTCCCCAACTCTCCTCCCATCTTGCAACCATTAAAACATTCTCTGTGTATGATTTTCTTTCTGTTTTGCTTGTTTGCTTATTTTGGTTTTTTAGATTCAATTGCTGTACATTATTTATTGCCATTTTATTATTCATATTTTTTATCTTTTTCTTAAGACCCTTTAACATTTCCTGTAATACCAGTTTGGTGATGATGAACTCCTTTAGCTTTTTCTTATCTGGGAAGCTCTTTATCTATCCTTTGACTACGCTTGGCTGGAGGTCATTGCTTTTTATCACTTTGAATATTTCTCGCCAGTTCTTTCTAGCCTGCAAAGCTTCTTTTGAGAAATCAGCTGACAGTCTTATGGGGGCTTCCTTGTAGGTAACTATCTTTTCCTTTGCTACTTTTAAGATTCTCTCTTTGTGTTTCACCTTTGGCATTTTAATTATGATGTGTCTTGTAGTGGGTCTCTTTGGGTCCATCTTGTCTGGAACTCTGTGCTTCCTGGACTTGTATGTCTATTTCCTTCATCAAGTTAGGGAAGTTTTCTTTCATTATTTTTTCAAATAGGTTTCCAAATTCTTGCTGTCTTCTCCTTCCAGCACCCCTATGATGCAAATGTCCGTATGCTTGAAGTTGTCCCAGAAGTGTCCTTACACTGTCCTCATTTTTTTGGATTTTTAAAAAAATTTTGCTGTTCTGGTTGTTTTTTTGCTTCCTTATGTTCCAAATCACTGATTTGATTCTTGGCTTCATCCAGGCTAATGTTGATTCCCTGTAAATTGTTTTTTATTTCAGTTAGTGTATCCTTTGCTCTAACTGGATCTTTTTTATGCTGTTGATCCTAAGTTCCTTGAGCATCTCTATAACCATTGTTTTGAACTCTGCATCTGATAGATTGTTTTTCTCCATTTTGTTTAGTTCTTTTTCTGGTGTTTTATTCTGTCATTTCATTTGGACTCTGTGTCTTTGTCTCCTCATTTTGGCACTGCCCTTATATTTGTTTTTATGTGTTAGAGCTACTACACCTTCCAGGCTTGATGGAGTGGGCTTAATGTAGTAGGTGCCCTGGAGGGTCCAGTGGCATAGCCTTCCCTATTATCCAAGCTGGGTACTCAAGGTGTGCCCACCGTGTCAACTATGTACACCCCACCTCTTCCAGTTGAGCCTTGATTGCTGTTGGGTTGGCACATCCAAGGTCAGCCATTGCCTGTGTTCTTTCCAGGGTCACACAGCATTAGCTGCATTAGCAGATGGCTGGTACTTGTGCTGGGCTTGGAGGTGACCAGGAGAGGCTACTTGTGCTGGGCTTGGAGGTGACCAGGAGAGGCTAAGTTGTGAGCCAAGGCCAGCTGCTGCTAGAGCCCAGCTTAGGACAACTTAGTGAGAGATACAGGGCTCACTGAAGCCAGGTACTGCTTGTTTGAGAGAATTTAGGAAAATTTGAAGCATGGGTCAAGATAAGCCATTCATGTGGAAGAGCCACTGAAATAAACTTGGGTGGGCCTGAAAGCTGGATGAGGTCAGGCCTAAGGGAATCACTGGGGGGGGGGGGGCGGGGATAGTGTGAGCCAGAATGATGGAGTCTCAGATATGGCACCTGCCCACTCTGTGGAGAGGTCTCAGAAAAAGAACAGTGGCTTCTGTCTGCACTTCTGTCTGGGAAAAAGCTTCTCCCCCAGCTTTCGTCCTGATTCCTGACAATTCAGTTCTTCCTCATGTGTCCCTAATGCCTTTCAATCTGCTTTTCCTGTGCTGAAGCTCAGAGGGAGTGTGAGTCAAACTTACTCAGACTTACTCAGAGGGAGCCTACAAGTGGGCCCTTTAGAGGAACTGCTTGGGATTCTAACAGTTTCTTTCTTCTGCAGCCTTAATTCCTGCTGATTTTTACAGCCAGAAGTTATGGGGACTTATCTTTCTGGCACTGGAACCCTGGGCTGGGGAGCCTAGTGTGGAGCCAGGACCCCTTGCTCCTGAGATATCCCTTCCAATTCTTATCTGCCACACATAGGTGTGGGACTAGCCCTTTCTGCATCTCTACCCTTCCTACCCATATCAGTATGGGTTTATGTTTAATTCTGTAGTTGTAGGACTTCCATTCAGCTCAGTTTCTGATGGTTCTGAATGATGATTGTTCTGTAGTTCAGCTGTAATTCTGATGTGGTTGTGCAAGGAGTGAGCCATGTTTATCTGTGCTGCCATATTGAGTAGAAGTCCGGTTTGCTTTTTTGTTGTTGAAATTTAGGAGTTCTCTGTATATTCTGGTGGTTAATTCCTCTTCAGATAAAAATTTTACAAATATCTTCATCCATTCTATGGATTGCCTTTTTACTTTATGGATAATGTCTTTTGATGCACATTTTTAGATATTTGTGAACTCCTACTTTGTCAGTATTTTCTCTTGTTGGCTGTGCCTTTGGAGTCATATCCAAGAAATAATTGCCACAGCTAATGTCATGAAGCTTTGGTCCTGTGTCTTCTTCATATAATTTATTGTTGTAGGTCTTTCATTAAAGTCCTTGATTCATTTTGAGTAAATTTTTGTATATTTTTTTATACAGGTAAGGGACCAACTTTTTTTTTCTTTTTTGCCCATGGATATCCAGTTTTCCCAGCACCATTTGTTGAAAGACTGTTACTCCCCTATGAATGGTCTTGGTTCTCATATCAAAAATCATTTGACCATATACACAAGGGTTTATTTGGGGGCTGTCTATTCCATTGGTCTGTTATCAGCAATTTTCAACCTTTTCCAGGTCATAGCATACATAAACTAATTACTAAAATTCTGTGGCACACCAAAAAATATATTTTTTGCCAATCTGTCGCAAAAAATAGGTCTTATTTTGATTCATTCACACCAGATGGCTATTGCTGTGTTGGCTGTTGTCATTTTTTAATTTGACAACATAAGGGAAAAGTTGTCAGTGCCCCTGACTAAATAGTTAGGTATTGCATTTTTTAAAAATTCTTATGGCATACCAGTTGAAAATCACTTGTCTGTGTCTGTCTTTACCCAGTACCACACAATTTTGATTATTATAACTTTGTAGTAGTTTTGAAACCAGAAGTGTGACTCTTCCAGCTTTGTTCTTATTTTTAAGATTGTTTTGGGTATTCAGGGTTTTCTGATTCCATATGAATGTTTGAATGGGTTATCTACTTTTGCAAAACGTCTTTAGGATTTTGATAGGGATTGCATTGAATATGTAGAATACTTTGGGTAGTACTGACATTTTCATAACATTAGGTACTCCAGTCCATGAATGTGGTATATGTTTCCATTTGTTTATGTTGTCTTTAATTTCTTTCAGCCATAGTTTTCATTGTGTCTTTCATGTCCTTGATGAATTTAGTTTCTAAGTTTTTAAAAAAATATTGAGAATGTAATTGTCCATGTGTAGAAATGCAGTTGATTTTTGCATGTTAATTATTGATTTAATCTTATTAGTTATATAGGTCTATTCAGATTTTTTTTCTCTTCATAATTTAGTCTTGGCAGATTTTTTTTTGTTTTTAGGAATTTGTCTATTTGACTTTGTACCCTGTTACTTTGCTGAATTCATTTATTAGTCTACAGTGCCATTTTTGGAATTTTTAGAATTTTCTACACAATAGACCATATCATCTGCAAGCAGAGATCATTTTACTTGTTACTTTCCAATTTGGATGTCTTTTGTTTCTTTCCTCTCCTTCTTTTTTGCTGCCTAATTGCTCTGGCTACAACTTCAATACTGTGTTGAATAGAAGAGGTGAGAGCAGGCATTCTTGCCTTGTTTCTGGTCATAGAGGAATCACTTTCAGTCTTTCACCATTGAGTATGATGTTCACTGTGGGTTTTTTACTTACATTTTATATTATGTGGAGGTAGTTTCCTTCTATTCCTAGTTTGTTGAATGTTTTTATCATGAGAGGGTGTTGAATATTGTTTGTTTGTTTGTTTTTGCATCAGTTAGGTAATCATGTGGGGTTTTTTTCTTCCTACATTCTGCTGATGTGGTGTTTTACATTGATCGGCTTTTGTACGTTGAACCATCTTTGCATTCCAGGAGTAAATTTCACTTGTCACGCTACATAATGCTTTTAATATGCTGTTGAATTCTGTTTGCTAGTAATCTGTTTGCTAGGATTTTTGTATCACTGTTCCTTAGGGATATTGGTCTGTACTATTCCTGTAGTGCAGTTGTATGGCTCTAGAATCAGGGTTGTT